ATACATGTAACTATTTTAAATTATTAATAAAGATATAAGCAAGGCCTCATCTTAATACCAAAAAAAAAAAAAAAAAATAATGCTATTCAACATATTTTAAAATTTGTCAGATTTTAAAATTAAGTCACTTACAGATATTTCCAAAAAATGTTTTTCATATTATACATAGAATATTGATGTGCCAGTTCTTGATTTACAATATTTTTTATTTTTTTTGAAGTTCTTAATATAATTTAACTTTTATTTAACTTAATATTGTTTATTTTCAGGAAGTGATGACCTAGTGAAGTGGTCAGGTTGTCAACCCCCAAGTGGCAGGTCCAAAGTTCAAATCTTAGTATTGATAGAAAATTTAAAAATCCTTCCTATATTACAGTTAACTGTCTCTTGCAATTAGTTGAAATAAGACATTTGTCATCTATATTACACTAGCATGACTGGCAGGTTACATGGTATTTGTGTAACAGTCATATGACATTGTTTTTTGTGCCAAGATTTGTGGTTACATGAAGGAATGCAAACTGATACCAGGAAGTGCAAACCTACTATAAGTTCTTGTGGTCATGTAAATCATAGGAATCAAATGAAGTAAGATGAAAGCTTACTTGAAAAACCTGAATAGAAAGGTAACCTGAACTTTTAATAATGCTATTGTAATGACTAGACCTATAAAATAGAGCTAGAACTTGTAAAACTAGGCACAGAGCCAGCCTTTGAGAAAGGGCTAAATGGAACCAACCAGACTACTAGGATCTATTTCGAAGAAAAAGTTTACATGCTGGCAAACATGTAAACCAGATGTGTATAGTTATGATCTGCCTTTCTGAGCTATCTGGTTTGGAAGCTTGGTAGAACTTGAATTGAATACCAAAGTAGTAGGGATATATTGTGAAGTCAGTACTGGAATTGGAGTGAACTCTACAAAAGCATAGCAGTTTAATGATACACCTGACTGTCAGTGTTGGTCTTGGCTATAGTAATATCAGATCAGCTATAAGAATAGGATACAGAAGATTCTGAAAGGTTTAGTACAAGGTTAAAGGTTCCTTATATAAGTGAACTGCTTTAAAGACTTAGTGGCCATGACATATTTTTACTGATATTAGCCAGAGTCATTGGTAGATAAAGGTAAATGGATAAATATAGAAACTAGAGTAGTTATATAGAGAACCTACAGGCAGGTTTCAGATATGACAGCTAGTGTATAACCTTTGGACAGACTACTTAAATTAGACAATAACTAAAGTTGTATGAGTGGTTAGTTGTATACTCTTTTTATGATTGCCTTCTGTGGTTGTAAAGCATCTATTAGCCAAATATACTATCAATAAAATTCTGAATTGCAAGTACTCATTTTAATATTTAAAAAAAAAATATTGTTTATTTTCTCAACTAATACTATACAATTATGATACAGATGTTTACAATTGACTAAATTATATATTAGTGTCATTAATAAATGCTCTGAAAAATCTTCTATTAGTATAGATATAAATAGATAATACTACAGATTGCCATAGTTCATTTTAAGATTAAACTTATTCTCTTTATAGTCAAATAGCAGTTTTAATATAATATATAATGCATGAAGATATGCAGATCATTTAGCAAGTAAAAAAGTTTTTGATTTTTTTTAAATTATTATTTTCAGTTTTAAAAGCAGAAGATAACCCAAAATGACTTTAGCATTTGGTTTATTGCATTATTAGCCAAGTATATTTCCTAATATTAAATAGATAGAATGTTTATTTGCTTTACCAAATTGGTCACATATTGTTGCATCAGAGTAAATGATTATTGATAAAATATTTGCTTCATTTGGAATCAATTTTTTTGCCCTTTTTTACTACTCCTCATTATGTTGTTTATAAGAAATCCTTTCTTCTTTATGATATAACAGTGTAAATTTAAAGATACAATATTTAAATATATCTTTATTGCTCAACAGTTCTTTTATAGTATCAAAAATAAAATAAAGTTTAAATAAAATGTTTCTTTTATATAAGTCATAATAAGTACCTTTTTTAAAAAAAGATGTGGAACTGTTATTTAATCTAAAAACTGACAATCTTGTTTTACTAAGGTAGATAAAACTAAATTGTCATTAGATATTTTCTTTGTGAACTTAAGAATATTATTTTCACATGCATCCAATAAGTTCTATTTTACAAGTAACTTTATGAAATTGCCAAATTCCTTACTAAAAAAACTTAGTTCTTCATTTATCAAATTGGTAATATCAAGAAACTCAAAAATTAAAAGTGGCTTTATATCAAGTAATGCAAATTCTTTCTAAATTTATATATATATATATACATATATCAATAAATTAAAGTTAATCACAAATAAAGTTTATGTTATACATTGAAGGTTATACAAACAATTTATTGTTTCTAATATATTTACTATAAATTAATCACTTGACTCTTCCATCTTACTTTCTGATTAACTTTTAAGCTAGTTTTTTTGTTAGTTTTCTATCTAGTAATTATAGTTATTTTTGTCACCAAGCTAATTATCTATTCTTGTTTCATTGTTATCTCTAACATCTTCATCATCTTCATTATCTTTACCATCTTTGTTGTCTTCATCATCTTTACTACCTTTGTTATCTTTACTATCTTTACTATCTTCATTATCTTTGCCATCTTCAATTTGGCTATCTATTCTTATTTCATCAAGTTGTTTATTTTCTATTTCCATTAGCTAGTCTTCATTTTGCTAGTATCTTTGTTCTATTTGAATTTTCTATTCTCTTTCTCTTTTTTAGCTATTTCATGTAGGAGATTTTTAATAATATTATCATGAACTCTTATATAGTTTCAATATGAAGCTCTATAAGAAAATGTTCTTTTATACTTTAGACATTGAAACTTCATTTTTTTTTGAAAAAAAAGATATGTAATATTTGTAATGACTTAGAGTTAAATATATAATTCTAATCATAATTTTGATCTAACTCATATTATTATATATTAATTTTTATGAAACTGATATAATCAAAGCACTATATTTTTTAGTCAAAAAAATACAAGTTTAATATTATTATATTCTAATATTTAATGCATAGGCACAAGTTTTATCATTTAACAAATCAACTCATCTGAAAACAATTGCAAATTATAATAACTCTTACAAAAGTCAATTGGACTGAAGTTGATGAAAATATGACCTATTATGTTAAGAAAAAAGTAGGTAAAAGGTATGAAAATTATTCTATTTAATACAATATAGTAAATTTAATACTATGGATTATAATTCTATTAAAACAGTTATTGGAAATTTAGAAGCAATTTGAACTGAGATGATAATGTAGAAGCTTAGAATATCTTCTAAGAATTTTAAGGTACACAATAATATATTGATCAGATTTTTAACATGCTATTGAATAAATATTAATTTATCTCTTTTTATATACATTAGTTGTATTCTATATTACTTATTATCCCTGGCATCTATAATTGCTTATATGTCTTAAAGATGATAACAATGCTACTATATTATATGGGACTTTGTTATATTTTTATAGCAAATTACCAACATGTCAAAAGACATAATTCACTATATTTTTTCAAAGCAATTTGGTCTTATATTAGCAAAATTATAGATATGAAATATTTCAAAAGATTTTGCATAGTGCAAAAAATTTTAAAAATAATGTAAAAGAAATTTTAAAATTCTTGTGAAGCACAAAATATTTTGAAATATTGCAAAATAAATTTTGAAATTTTTGCACTATACAAAATCTTTTAAAATATTGCAAAAAAATTTCAAAATTATTGCATAGTAAAAATATTTCAAAATATAGCAAAAAAATTATCTAAATATGTGAAAGACAAAATATTTTGAAATAAATTTAGAAAATATTTAAAGTATGTAAAATATTTCAAAATATTTCAAAATAATTTAAAATATTTTTAAAGTTCATTAAAATAAAAAAATAATAATAAAAGTAATATTTAATCATAATATAGTAAAATTAATTTTAAATAAAATTTTATTCTCTTTAATATAATATTATAACCATCTTTAGAATATTTATTACAAATCTTGTCACTTTCAAAAATACAACAACAAAAACTCTCACATCTACTCTTTATTATAACAAAAAAATGCTTCACTTGGCAAAAAATACATCCAATATTCTTCTTACTAATTTATTATCATTTAAACTTCTAACCCTTTAATATTTAACTTAAAAAGTAGCAATATCTGCAATGAAATACATTCTTTATTCTACTTCTCTTCTTAAACATATTGGTATAGCCAGAATTAAAAATTAGCTAACTAAAATATAGCAACCTTACTTTTTTCCAAATACTGCTTCTAAGTTTTTATTAAAAACAAAAAACTTTATATTTATCTTTTAACTTTCACTTTTAAATAACTTCAATATTTTTCTTTTATTTAATAATTTACTAAATTTACTACTAGTTAATATTTTTATATCTATAAAAACAATATATAATATTCTTCTATCTAATAATTCTTATTTACTTATTAACAGTCTTTGAAACAATAAAATACTCTTTATTGAACAACTTACAACAGCTAACAATTTACATATTCTTCTATGAAACAGCATATATATATGTATTAAGAAATTTACTCATGAACCTATTCTATCTTGGTTTACTAAACTTTCTAATCTTATTCAAAACAATACAATTTCTTAAACATGATCACATTTTAACTTATTAATTCCTTTGACACAATCACTTCTTATTACTTATTACTATTAAATAAATAATCTATTGTTTTTAATAACTCACAAATTCTTTTTACAAAAAATTTACTTAACTTTTTCTCCTTTTATAACATCTTTTCTGGTTTAATATCTTTAATTCCTACTAACTTATCTATATCAATATTTCAAACTTCTATTAATATTTCTCATATTAAATCATTAAAAAAAAATAACAACTATTTACTCTATATTGATAATCATAAAATTCATGTACTTACAACAATTGACTTTCAAAAACTCTCTCTGCTGATTCTTAATTTCTAAATAAAGCCAAACAAACATAAAGAAAAATTGCAAAAATGGCCTAATAAACCTCATTTTAAACTCTAAGAAAAAAGACTTAGTACACAAAATACAACTACTTTGCTTTAACAACAGTATAAGTAAAGTTCTGTTAAACAAAAGCTCTTTCTAGTTTTTTAAATTTTTAAAAATTTTTTTGGAAAAATTAAGAAACAGCACTAGATCCTGAAAAAACAAAATTGGAACACGTAACTAGTCATCAGCACAAACAAAACAATATGTCACATTATACTAAACAACAAATAGTAACAACAAATAGCTCTATTAGAAAATACCAGATAAGTATAGCATGTAGAATAAGCAAATAAAAGAACAACAGAATAGTCTAGAAATAGAAGTACAAACTAGATTAGGACTACTATGCAGTACAAACCTAATTCAACATATTAAAGGTTTTGGTAATAGAAATAGAAGATATATAGATAGTAAAATATTAGATGCAGTTCTGGCAAAACCTATAAAAAATCCTAATAATCTAAAGTATATAGCAAGAGATTTGGCAATTTATAATTCAAAAAACATTACAGCAAATGATTTACTTTTGTATGCCCAAATACTAAAGGTACTTAGAATAGCAGAAGTATGTACAGTTTCATATAATACTATAGAAGAATAGGCAAAAAAACTCACATCTATAGATATAATTCCTGTGTTATTCAAATATCAAATAAACATAAATGAGAAAAGAATATCAAGAAAAAAAACAAAGCCAGAAGAAATGAAAATGGCAAAAAAGATCAATTAAGTAAAAATGCTTGTACATACAGAGAAAAAATACCAAGAATATAAAAAGAAAAAAGAAAAAATAAATCAAAATTTAAAAGGTGTTATAAAACAAATAGAAGAACTAAGTATCTTAACTACAAATTAACATGACCTCAAAGATTTCAAAAACATGACTACAAGAAAACTGCCAATAAAAACAATGAAATGTGAAGGTAGTAATTAGAAGAAAAAAAATAAAAATGATCAGAAAGAGTTAACAGATAACAGAATACACAATCTTAAAAAAAACATCAAAAATATAAATAGAAGAATAGCAGAACTAAAAGCAGAAGAAAAAAAGCAAGAAACTAAAATTAACAGATACAATAGAGCAAATTAGTAATTACCAAAAACTGTATATGTGATAAAAGTAAATCCTTTAAGGCAAACATGCCAACATATATAGTGCTAAGTGAAAACAAAAAAGAAAGAATTAAATACATACAGTGAATTTTTCGAGAAAATTATCATATTAAATCAATTCAAGAAGTTTTCAAAAAAGGAAATAGTTGGATAGAAGTAGACTTTGACTGTAAATTTAGCAAAGATGCAGCAATGAAAAGAATTAAAGAAAAAGAAGATAAATGACTTAAAATCATTCCAGAAGAATCTAAAAACCAAGAAAAGAACCAAAAGCAGCAAGTACTAAGAAGCAAAAGAAAAGAAGTGAAAGAATCTAAAAATGTTATTAGACAAAGAAAAAAATAAAATAATAAAAACAGCTATGCAACAGAAAATGAGATAGAAGCAGAGTCACATTTAACAATATGGGATTTATTAGTCAATATTAATGCAGAAGAAATAAACTATATATGCAGAAGTATTAAAGGAGCTCATATAAAATACATCAAAAGGTCTAAATATAAAGCATTAATAGTAATTAAGTGAGAAAAATAAAAGAAAGAAATATTTCATAGTCACTGCCAATAGGAATACACAAACTTGCAAAAGTAACAATAGGAGAAGAAGACTATATTTGGCATAATATGCAAAATCAATTTACAATCTGATTAGTAAAGCTTTTAAGAAATGTATCAGAAGTATTGTTATTATGATACTTAAAAAAAAAAGGTATAAAGTCAGTATATATACCATCTATTAGAAATGGAAATCAAAAAAGGTCAGCTATAATTACATTCATAGTAGCAGAAGAAATGGAAGCAGCACAAACAAAACTAATATATTCAATAACCACTTACTCTTTTGGTAAGATCACAAAAAAGAAAATGACAAATACAAATACAAGAGTATAGAAAAAAAATATATCAATAAGAATAATACTAGTGAAGAGTCAGATATAGAAGCTGATAAAAATGTTAACTATGAGGAAAAATAAAGAAAAATAACAAATATTGCAATAATTACAAGAGAAACCAAAGTGAAAATAAAGAAACACAACTGCAAATATATAGTCTTCTTCAAAAAATATTAAAAAGATTAGAAAGATTAGAAACACAACAAAGCCAGACAGCTTTGGCTGATTACTTCTGAGGGCATACTAGTTGAATTAATAAACTTAGATGAGGAGTTCTGAGATTTTCTGCAAGATGAACAAAGAGTTTTTGAAGAAGAAAAAGAAGAAATGTCTTCTAGTCTAAAAGGAAAAGAAAGCAGAAAAAGAAAAAAAAAAAAAAAACAAAGCAACAATATAGGAAAAGTGAAAAAAAAGTGAAAAAAAGAAAGAAAAGAAATTAAAGTAGTATACCACAATGTTAACAGACTGAAAACCAAAGGTTGGAAGTTAGAGAACTTGCTTAGTTAGGCAAAAGAAGAGGAAATTACAATATTGGGAATTACTAAACCAAATTTTACAGAAAGGAAAGAAAAATTTTTAACATATATAACAAAACAAAAGATATATAAGGTTTTGGGCAAGTG